TTTCATCTGCCTTACGGCAGGAACACAGTTTGAGTTCGCCTTTCAATTTACAAAATTTTACGCCAGTTTTAATATTAGAGTCCTCCAGTCTATAACACAATCTCCAAGGAAATTGCTTCTCGTGTCTCGAATTCCAATTATTACCATAATAAGTGAGGTTCACATTACAATTAACGGGGGAAACGAATTCTGCTGTCGTGAATCACTCTACTGAACACGATGGTCATGAACTTGAATTCTTACAGTTCCCTGCGCATTAATAGGACATTTGGCTCTATACGAAATTAAACACCTATCTATACGCATAGCATGGTGTTTTGCATCAGAAACTATTTTGTCAAAAACACCGGGAAGAGTCAGCGAGTTGTCGGACCAATCGCCATGAGCAGAAGCTTCAATCGTTTTCGTCTCGTAATCCCGATAAAAAACCGCTCCACCATTAGACGTTGAAAATGCATCTCATTATAATTCTGCAAAATAAACAAGACGAAACACGATCACGAAGTAATAATTTTGTTCACGACAAAATTAAAATAATGTATCGAACGTTCAGAACAAATATCTTCACAACAGAATTGGCTTTTTAGAGGAAACATCGCATCGCGTTTGCGATGGCTTTCGAAATCATTTTATAGAGGGGGGTAGACGTCCAATTCAAAATTGTCTAGATCACTAGTCTGGCACTTTAATTTGAATTAACGACCGGATCGGCCCCAAATAGCAATTGGTCCAGTTGGGCCAATCATATGATGACACGTTGAGGCAGTGGAAAACCAAGTACTTTTGCAAACAAATTCGCCAAAAAGGAGTACCCAACTCCTGACATGGCCACTGCCATCACTGGTACAAAAGCCCTGAAGCCTTTCTCCTCCAGAGTAAAGCAAGTAAGATCGAGGCTGGAACGTCTCAGTAAAAACTAAGCTGAGAAAAGAGCAGATGAGGAGGCTTCGAAGAAGGCAGAGAAGGTTGCCAGAAGGGCAAAGGAAAGATGGAGGAGCCTTCAAAGAAGAGAAAGCTCGTCTATGCAAGTGGGGCTTCGTCCACCTTTGGGACCACCATGCCCCATTCTGAAAAGGGGGGCTAGCAGTTGAAATTTCTTCAATCTTCGATCAAGGCTGCTATTGTGGAGCAGTCTCGGAGGGCCAATGAGAAGGCCAAGAAGGAGGCAACTTCAGCCTTCGAGGCACCAAAGAAGGGGTAAGTTGAGAGGACCCTAGGGAAGTCTGGAACTTCCTCATCAGGAGGGAAGATAAGATCGCGCCGGCAGTCCTAGAGATGTTGCCACCTGAAGTTTGAGGCGCCACATAAAATTTTAACAAGTTTTGGACTGAGAGATAGCAGAACTACATGGCTACATATGATGTGGTGAACCTCATTGCCACTTTAGTGAGTCAAACGAGGAGGGCCTTTGGGGTGGCCCTAGAATGTCAGGAAGTATTATCTGACATTCAAAGAAAGAACCGGGCCTCGTACGAAAAACTGAAGGCTGTCAAGGCCGAAGTGAAGAGGGGGAAGACAGAGGCTAACGAACTGAGGGCCCAAAGAGTTGAAGATGAGGCCAAGTTAGCTTCTGTCTTGGCTGAGATCGAGGCTCTTAAAAAGGAAGTGCACGAGTCCCAATGTGAAGTGGCCTCTCTTACTAAGAAGGTTGAGACCTCCAATGCTCTCCAGAAACTAACCTCCGAAGCCCTGGAGAAGGTGAACTTGGAGCTCGCTGGCTACAAAGATGGGAATAAATTTATGGATGAACAAATTCGATACTAAGCCAAGGAGGTAAAGATTCTTGAGGCTGAGGCTTAGCAAACTGGTGAGGTGGCGGTGATGAACTACATTGCCAACTTTCACTTGACTAGGGAGTATCAATGCTTCACTATCTATTGGATGAGGTATGTTTACAACGAAATGGTGAGTAGGATCGAGGATCTCTATCCTAAACTTGATAGTTTTGAACTAAAGGCAGAATTCATCGAGGAAGAGGTGCCCCAGACCCCGGAAAAAGAAGTTGCTGAAGAAGTCCATGTTGAAGGGGTTTCTAAAGAAGTGGCGACTGATGCACGTGCTACTGAGGCACAAGCTCATCTACCTCCGCAGCAGTAGTATAGGGTTGATTAACTTTTGTAATGCCTTTGGACTCCTTATGTACTTGCCCTTTTATTCAATGAATGAAACTTATTTATTTCCCATTGTTTACAACTTTGTCATTCTTTTTCGAAGTAAATAGACTTACATAATGCAATAGTTACGTTGAACCGTTCAGTCAAACTGCAGTCTAAACCTCGTCTGAACTGAACTTAACTTAATTAACTGAATTGAAACTGAACGGAATTGAAACGAACTTGAACTTACTGAAAGTGTATATATATATGTGTGTATGTGTGTGTGTGTGTGTATTAAATTTTATTTTATTTGGGCCAAATATTTAGATATTGATATAGTAATGATAAATATATCAATATTGTACTCGTT